GTTTTCAACAAGGAGTTCTGTCCTTCATTTCAACCTGTAAGACAGATGTTCTTAGCTTACGAAGTTTTTGGCTGGCCTTTGGTACTACAGATTTCTTTCTTTAAGGCCTGGATTTGTGTAGGGTAATTTTAGAAGTGTAACAATCCTAGAGCATTTGTGGACCGTGAATGCTACCAGATTGTGCCACAACGTGTAAGATTTTATTTGTTTTTACATATTATGGTTCTTAGAATTTGTGCTATTACTACATCACTGATGTGAGCTCATGAAATTGTGATTCACTCTCCTCACTTAGAGCATGCAAAGAAAGTTACCTGCTATCCTTGTTAGAGCTAGGTATATTTGTATATCAAGAGAATGTATGTTTGTCCCATTCTTATTATTTCTTGAGCATAGGCCTAGGTAAGCTGTGAGGCTATTCCCGTTTATCTTGGCGCAACAGTCAGTTGTTCCACAACTTTCTTCCTATTCCTCTCCAGCCCTTTTCACCTATACTCCTGTCTTTGACTTTTCTCTGCTTAATAAGCCTGACATTAGGATCATTTGATGATTTCAGTTATAGTAGAATGAATAGTTTGGTGCTCTGGTTTTTTGCAGCCTATGGGCTATGGGCCTCGTATGCAGCAGCCTTCCAGCCAGAGCCAGTTCCTTCCTCAGACTCAGTTCCCATCACAGGGAATGAATGTAACAAATATGTCTTTGGCTCCGTCCAGCGGTCAAGCTCCAGTGTCTCAAGTATGTCTTATAAGTGGATTTTTTTTTTAACTTATTTTTGATTCTTGAAATTTCTCTTGACTTAGGTTTTTATAGGAAAGAGTGGCAGCAAACAATGAGTGAAAACAGATGATTCTTTAAAAAATAACAATTTTGGACTTAGGGCATTCAGAACATGAAGAGATTATGACATAGCAATGGTGTTGTTACAAATTAGGAAATAATTTAAATGGATGGTTTTAATTTTTTTTTTGTAGTGAACACTTTTAAAGTAAAATCTTAGAATTTACTAGACCGTAGAAGGAACTCTGGCTGAAGAGAGCATAGGGAGGCCCTAGAGTACTATGCACTCAATTCTGCCATTTTTCTGCAGTGACTAAGGCCATTCTGCTGAATGGTTTGAAGTCTCTTTAGTTAAGTACTTTATTGATGGTGCTCTCCAAAGATATATCCCCAGTAATAGGGTTTTTACACTTTATGAAATAGACACATTGCTACTGTTTGTTTAATCAGTTTGTGTCCTAAATGCATATAACATGCCTGTATAAATATTTCCTTCTGTTTTGAATTGCTGTCTTGTTGTTTTTTAACAGGCACAAATGTCTAGTTCTTCCTGCCCAGTGAACTCTCCTATAATGCCTCCAGGGTCTCAGGGGAGCCACATTCACTGTCCCCAGCTTCCTCAACCAGCTCTGCATCAGAATTCCCCCTCGCCTGTACCTAGTCGTACCCCTACCCCCCATCATACTCCCCCAAGCATAGGGGCTCAGCAGCCACCAGCAACAGCAATTCCAGCCCCTGTTCCTACGCCTCCTGCCATTCCATCTGGGCCACAGTCCCAGGCTTTACATCCCCCTCCAAGGCAGACACCTACACCACCAACACAACTTACCCCACAAGTGCAGTCTTCACTTCCTGCTGCTCCTTCAGCTGACCAGTCCCAACAGCAGCCTCGCTCACAGCAGAGCACAGCAGCCTCTGTTCCTACCCCAACAGCACCGCTGCTTCCTCCACAGCCTGCAACTCCAGTAAGTAGAGATTTGGATTTAGGCAGAATCATTAGAGTTACACTGTAGTATTATATTACTTCTGGGCCATTTCTATTATTCTCTTTTATCACTTACTGTTTTCTCCACAAGTAGAATGTAATCTCTTTTTCATTAGGGACTTTCTTACCCTGTTGTGCCTTGCTGTGATAGGACCTATTATAGTAGCAGGAGCATAAAGATTTTATTTCTATCTGACTTTGACCATTATGTTTCATGTTGTACTCTAAGGTTGAAGGTATGTAAAGAGGTATGGCAAGGGGACACAGTCCTCTTCCTTATTTAGTATATCATTTAGTGCAGTATATAAATATGACACATATTTAAAGAATTTTTTTCAAACAGTTTGAGCTGTAAAACTTAAGAGACTGAATTTTAAAATTCTAGAGTCAGGCAGGCATGGTGGGTTACACCTGTAACCCCAGCACTTTGGGAGGCCACGACGGACAGATCACTTGAGGTCAGGAGTTCAAGACCAGCCTGGCCAACATGGTGAAACCCCATCTCTACAAAAAATACAAAATTTAGCCAGATGTGTTAGTGGGTACCTCTAATTCCAGCTGCTTGGGGGACTAAGGCAGGAGAATTGCTTAAACCTGGGAGGCGTTGGAGGTTGCAGTAATTGAGATGGCACCCACTGCACTCCAGCCTAAGCAACAGCAAAACTCTGTCTTTAAAAAAAAAAATCGCAGATTTATGAGTCCCTGTGGCCCTATCCAAAATTAAAAAATCATCTAAGATGAGAGAATTACAGACCCAGAACAACCTGTAGCTCACTTGTGAGAAGTTGGTTATGTATATAATAAAAATCCAAATTCTCATATAATAGTTGAGTCCTTATTAATAGAACTCTTTTTGTTAAGGGTTTAGCAGCTTCTACTTTGATATCGATAGTAATATATTAGTTCTCAACAGTTTGAACTGAGAAGTCCCATGTGTCACAGCCATTTTATAAAATACTGTAGTTGATGGATGGCTGGTTCATCGTGGCCTCTGATAGACAAGGAAGGACAGAAAGAGGAACCAGTAGATTTGTTTAATTTTATTCTTTATAAAATCAAGGGTAGTTTCAGAAAATACTGACTTCTCATTAAGAGGTTTCTTATGACAAGACTTAGGAAGAAGATAGGGATTGCCAGTTATCTCATTAGAATCTAGTGATTGAAAACAGCCACTATGTGGGACATCATTATATTTATTCTCTTTTTCTGTACATTTGAAACTTTATGTAATGAGAAGGTAAAAACAAAAAAGATAGCCAGTTTTGTTATTTTCTTTCATCCCATTTTTGTATAAATATGAGCTCCTATGAAGCAGACATCTTTGAAACCCCCACACGGCCAGAGAACGATAGTTATCAGTGAAATAGTTGCTGGCTGTTGGATGTACACCCAGCCAGCCAGCATTTACGAGTCTTAATTCTCCTGTCCTTAAGCATAATTAAAGGAGGTGAAATGAGCAGACCAAATGAAGGCACCGTGAATGAATATAAGCCAAGAAATAGGTGTTTAATTCTGCTGTCCTGTTGCTTACCTTACACTCAGATTGTATCACTGGCAAACTGTGTGTATGTGTCTCACCCACTCCCCTTTTTTTCTGCCTAGCTTTCCCAGCTAGCTGTAAACACTGAAGGACAGGTATCAAACCCTCCATCTACTAGTAGCACAGAAGTGAATTCTCAGGCCATTCCTGAGAAGCAACCTTCCCAGGAAGTGAAAATGGAGGCTAAAATGGAGGTGGATCAACCAGAACCAGCAGATACTCAGCCGGAGGATATTACAGAGGTGAGAGTAGGGAAGTTACTATTTGATGTGGTTAGGACCTCAGTCTGGGAACCCAATTTTTTAAAAATACTGCGGAAGAATATTTTGATAATTACATCTCATGGCATGAGAAAGGGTGGTGAGATTACATCCATAGGGGAGAGTAAATGATGTAATGAATGATAGTGATCTTATTGATTCCCAAGTAGATATTTTTGAAATACTAAAAACCCTTTTCTTTTAGTCTAAAGTAGATGACTGTAAAGTGGAACCTACAGAAACAGAAGAGAGAGGCACTGATTCAAAAACTGAAATAAAAGAGGAGGAAGACCAGCCAAGTACTTCAGCTACCCAGTCATCTCCAGCTCCGGGACAGTCAAAGAAAAAGAGTTGAGTCTCTTAGGCTGTTGGTTCTAGAAGTAGCTGAAGAAACCAAAGACCCAAGGCGGTATTGTGATCATGCCTCTTGGGCCTCAGAAGTTGCCATTAATGTGATTTCATTAACCTTGAAGCCCTGGGCCTGGTCTCTTCCTTGTTACTAATGTATTTTTTTTTTTTTAAGTTATATTCACTTGCAGCAACCATTGAGTTAGTCATTCCCCTCATTTCTTCAGAGTTCCTTGGTTAGCACCCTCTAAAAATTCTCTCTTTGGCCAGGCACGGTGACTCACACCTGTAATCCCAGCACTTTGGGAGGCTGAGGTGGGCGGATCACTTTGAGGTCAGGAGTTGGAGACCAGCCTGACCAACATGGTGAAACTCTGTCTCTACCAAAAATACAAAAATTAGCCAGGTGTGGTGGCACGTGCCTGTAATCCCAGCTATGCAGGAGACTGACGCATGAGAATCATTTGAACCTGGGAGGCGGAGGTTGCAGTGAGCCGAGATTGTGCCACTGCACTCCAGCCTGAGCAACAGAGTGAGACTTCATCTCAAAAAAAAAGTTCTATTTCTCAAAAGAGAAATGTTTGTAAATAGCCTTGGCTAAAATACAGGAAAGACTAGGAATAATAATAGCATTTATCATTTACCTTCCGTGTGTTAAGTACCCACATTGTCTCATTTAATAATTTATTTTCTTTTTTTTTTTTTTGGAGATGGAGTCTCACTCTGTTTCCCAGGCTGGAGTGTAGTGGCACAATCTCAGCTCACTGCAACATCTGCCTCCCAAGTTCAGACAGTTCTCTTGCCTCAGCCTACTGAGTAGTTGAGACTAGCGTGCCACCACATCCAACTATATATTTTTTTTGTTTTTTTAGTAGAGACAAGGTTTCACCATGTTGGCCAGGCTGAAACTCCTATCCTTAAAGTGATCTGCCCACCTCAGCCTGCCAAAGTGCTGGGATTATAGACACGGGCCACCGTTCCTGGCCCCATGGACTCTTATTTAGCAAAGCCTCTTCATACATTTTTAGAAGCCTTTGGATTCTGTTTCTAATTGACCAAATCTGTCTTTGTTGAGGGTGAAGGGTGTTTAAAGATGATAAGGCACACTTTTTAGGAGCTGCCTGAAGCAGAGCGGCACTTAGAATCAGTAATTAAGTCCTTAGTGATATTTCCATAGGGACAGAGTAGTTAATTTTGTGTTATTTGATTGTTGAGATGCTTTTAGAGCTGGTTTTTAAAAGTTCTTTTGATTAATTGATAACTAATTTCAGATACACTTTTTTTTCCAAAGTTTTCAAACCAGAAGAACTACGACAGGCACTGATGCCAACATTGGAGGCACTTTACCGTCAAGATCCAGAATCCCTTCCTTTTCGTCAGCCTGTGGACCCTCAGCTTTTAGGAATCCCTGTAAGTATCTGGTGGTACTTCTGATTTTGTTTTTTAATTTGATAACAGCTTTATTGAGAGAGAATTCACATTCCAAATAGTATAACTACTCATTTCAAATGTATAATTCAGTGATTTTTTTTTTTTTTGAGACCGTCTTAATCTGGTTGCCCAGGCTGCAGTGCAGTGGCTCGATCTTGGCTCACTACTGCCTCTACCTCTTGGGCTCAGATGATTCTCCCACTTTAGCCTCCTGAGTAGCTGGGACTACAGGCATGTGCCACCTCAGCTGGCTAGTTCTTTGCATTTTTTAGTAGAGTTGGGGTTTCACCATGTTGCCCAAGCTGGTCTTGAACTCCTGCCTGGACTCAAGCAGTCAGCCCACCTCAGACTCTCAGAGTGCTGAAATTGTAGGCATGAACCACCAGGCCTGGCCTAATTCGGTGATTCTTAGTATATTCACAGAGTTGTGCATGAGACTTCTATTTTCATCATTCAAAAAAATCCTGTACCATTAACAGGATTTAATGGTAACTCACCATTTTCTCCCATAGCACCCCAATCCTAGACCATCACTAAACTGCAGTCTATTTCTGGATTTGTCTATTCTACACACTTAATTAAATTAAACATACAATATGTGATTCTTCGTGCCAGAACTTTCCTTAGCATAATGTTTTCAAGGTTCATCCATGTTGTAGCACGAATCAGTACCTCATACTTATTTATAGCCAATAATATTCCATTATACACATTTTCTTTACCTATTGATTAGTTGGTAGACATTTGGGTTGTTTACACTTTTTGACTTTTTTTTTTTTCTGAGACAGGGTTTCGCTCGTTACCCAGGCGCTGGAGTGCAATGGTGCGATCTCGGCTCACCGCAAGCTCCACCTCCTGGGTTCAGGCAATTCTCCTGCCTCAGCCTCTTGAGTAGCTGGGATTACAGGCGCGCGCCACCGTGCCTAGCTAATTTTTTTTTTTGTATTTTTAGTAGAGATGGGGTTTCACCATGTTGACCAGGATGATCCCGATCTGTTGACCTTGTGATCCACCTGCCTCGGCCTCCCAAAGTGTTGGGATTACAGGCGTGAGCCACCGCGCCCGGTCCACTTATTGACTATTAAGATAGTACTACAGTGAATATTGGTGTACAAGTTTTGCGTGGATTTCTATTTTTATTTTTTTTTAGTATTTACCGAGGAGTGGAATTCCTGGGTGTAGTATATTTACTTTTGTTGTTTTAAGAGCCAATAGATCATAGCAGAAAAATGGACCCCAGTTATCTTTGTTTATAAAGTTGCCTCCATATATTAGGCTGCTGGCAGGTGTCATTTGGGGGTTTTACACTGTTACTGGGCCGGGCCCTGTGGCTCATGCCTGTAATCCCATCACTTTAGGAGGCCAAGGTGGGCAAATCACTTGAGGTCAGGAGTTTGAGACCAGCCTGGCCAAACATAGTGAAACCCCATCTCTGCTAAAAATACAAAAATTAGCTGGGCGTGGTGGCACATTGGGAGGCTGAGGCAGGAGAATTGTTTGAACCTGGGAGGCGGAGGTTGCAGTGAGCCAAGATAGCACCACTGCACTCCAGCCTGGACAACAGACCGAGACTCTGTCTCAAAAATCAAGTGCTAGGCCGGGCACGGTGGCTCACGCCTATAATCCCAGCACTTTGGGAGGCCGAGCCGGGTGGATCACAAGGTCAAGAGATCGAGACCATCCTGGTCAACGTGGTGAAAGCCCATCTCTACTAAAAATACAAAAATTAGCTGGGCATGATGGCATAAGCCTGTAGTCCCAGCTGCTCGGGAGGCTGAGGCAAGAGAATTGCTTTAACCCAGGGGCTGAGGTTGCAGTGAGCTGAGATCGTGCCATTGTACTCCAGCCTGGGTAACAAGCGAAACTCTGTCTAAAAAAAAAAAAAAAAAAAAAAAATCAAGTGCTTCCAGGGGCAAAAGGTTTTAGGAATTTTCTCCTCCTGTATCTTCCTGTGATTTCAGGTGGAACACTTTAAGTTCTGTAGGCTTAATTTCCTAATTGTACACCTCTTCTAGTACTAAAATTTTAAATGTCTTTGACTTTACTGATCTGACATGTACTTTCATGAAGTACCTGGAATAGTTTCAGTAAACTCCCAGCCTGATGTCTAAAAAGTCCATAGTAGTTCTGTTTTTCTGCCCTTTGAGTAGGTTAGTATCTCTGTAGACTGATGATCTATCTAAAGAAGTATCGGACATCCGTCACCTCTTGGGGAATACAATCAGGTCAGAAACTAAAACACTGCCTCAAAGATTAACAGTGATAATGGATGATACTCCATCTCCCATAAATATAGTTAGACTTGACTAATGTTTGATGTCACTTGTCTTCTTTCTAGGATTACTTTGATATTGTGAAGAGCCCTATGGATCTTTCTACAATTAAGAGGAAGTTAGACACTGGACAGTATCAGGAGCCCTGGCAATATGTTGATGATATTTGGCTTATGTTCAATAATGCCTGGTTATATAACCGGAAAACATCACGGGTATACAAATACTGCTCCAAACTATCTGAGGTCTTTGAACAGGAAATTGACCCAGTGATGCAAAGCCTTGGATACTGTTGTGGCAGAAAGGTAAGAAATGGGTTTCAAATTTGTAACTTTTTGAGGATACCTAGAATAATACAGTGATGACTGTGATAAGAGAATATCTGACTTCTGGCTTTGACATGGCTTGCTTATTCATTCATTCTGTCTCCCAGGCTAGAGTGTAGTTGTGAAGTCATAGCTCACTGCAGTCTCAACCTCCAGGGCTCAAGCAGTTCTCCCACCTTAGCCTCCTGAGCAACTGGGACTACAGGCATGAGCCACCTCTCCCAGCTGACACAGTCTTTCTTTTAATGTGTGCCATGGTAGTAATAGCTCTTAATATGAAGTGGAATTTCTTTAAAGGCATTTTTTCACAGGGGTCAATTATATGGAAAAGTTGACCAATCAAATACTGAATCAGCAGACTGAGCTCATCTGGAGTAGAGGCATTCTTTTATGTTCAGCTGTAGGACCAGATTCCTCAGCATCTGTTGGCTTTTCAGTACATACCACTTCACATTATTGGTTTTTTGTTTTTAAAATGAGATTGGGGTCTTGCTGTGTTTCCTGAGCTGGTCTGGAACTCTTGGGCTCATGCAGTCTTCCCAGCTTGGCTTCCTGAGCACTGCAGGCAAGCACCACCATGCCCAGCTATTCCTGTTGGGTTCTTTGATAAAGTGATGGAAGGATAATGACTGCTAAGCCTACCTCAGCATTTTGAAATAATGTAGAAGTTAAACTGAGAATGATTTTCAGAAACTGAATTAGCCCATTATAATGAAGATAAATGAGAACTAAGACACCACTGACTTTTGTTTCTGATTTGCCATTCTTAACTATTCTAGCTTGTCCTTAAGGCCTCTGTGCTTTTTAACAAATGGTTTCTTTTGCAGTTGGAATTCTCTCCACAAACACTGTGTTGCTATGGCAAACAGTTATGCACAATACCTCGTGATGCCACTTACTACAGTTACCAGAACAGGTAAGCTTGGCCAGGTGTAGACCATGGTCCATGTGTCCACATGTCCAGGGAGTGCATGCGGATGGACCAGCACACGTACAGTCATGGTTCATGTGTATCTTGCTTGAAGACAGCTGTATAGCACAAGTTCTGTTTTTTGCCTTCTGCCTTTGTTTACAGAATTAGAAAATTTTCTATCAAAATAGCCTTGCATCAGTTGTCATGGTTTCCTACCAAGACTCTGAGAAGTTAAGCAACTTTGTGAGTTGTTGACATAGATGTGTCTGTATCCCAGGCTCCACTTCTCTTTCTACTGTGTTTTCAATTGATCACCACAGCCTGAGGCAAAACGGAGATGATTTTCAAACTTGTGAAACTAGCTAGATAGCTTTTTGAAAATGTTTCCCTTTTATATGAGGCCTATCGCTGAGTTGTTCTTGGAATATATGAAAACAGGATTCTGGAGTCTTTTATTTGCCTCATATTAAGCAAATAGAAAGGAAAACCTCAAATAGCTCTGTACCTTGCTTTTCGCAACATAGCCTTGCATATGACAGAGGGGACATTTTGAGTCTGATAAACTAGGCACCTCTGCCTAATTTTCTCCTGCCCAATCAATGGCTGTAATCACATAAATCTCATTCACTAATCTATCTTTTTTGTTTGTTTGTTTTTTAACGGAGTCTCACTCTGTTACCAGGCTGGAGTGCAATAGCAAGATCTCGGCTGACTGCAACCTCCAACTCCCTGGTTCAAGTGATTCTCCTGACTCAGCCTCCCAAGTAGCTGGGATTACAGGCATGTGCCACCACACCCAGCTAATTTTTTAGTAGAGATGAGGTTATACCATGTTGGCCTGGATGGTCTCAATCTTCTGACCTAGTGATCCACCCACCTCGGCCTTCCAAAATGCTAGGATTGCTAGGACTGCGTCAGCTGCGTTCACTAACCTATCTTAATCACAATTTATCTCTTGTTTTCAGTGATCAGCCTACAGTATAGCTTGCATTGGGTGTTTATTCAGGGCTCTGATAATAGTAATAACAAGGCTGGATGGTACTAAAACTCTTTGCTTGTTAATACCAAATACATGGTATTGGTTTTTGCTGAACTTGTGTGATGCAGATGTATTTCTAGCTTTGAAAAGTCACTTAAGCTTATTTTATTTACGAAAAGTTAGATATGCTTCTAATGCTTTGTAAACCTAATGCTTTGATTTTGCAGTGAGTAAAATCTAGCTTTTTACTCATTTGAAACCTAGAAAAGGTGAGAGTCAAATGTATAAGTACCTTATGTTTGAAAAAGCAAGTAACTTGACAAACTTTTCTCATGTTTACTAAAACAGTAGTCTAAAGTGTTTATCTTTGCACCATGTCACCTTTAATCATGTACCTGCACACATCACTTCCTTTTAAAATGTGTCCACTTGATGGCTATAGTCAGTATTTAACTGCTTGTGCAGGCTTTTAAGTAAACCATTTTTTTCTTTGTTTTTTGAGATAGGGTTTCACTCTGTCACCAGGCTAGAGTGTAGTGGCGTGATCTTGTCTCACTGCAGCTTCTGCCTCTCGCTGGGTCAGGTGATCTCCTAACTCAGTTTCCCGAGTAGCTGAGACTTCAAGCACATGCCACCACACACACACAGCTAATTTTTTGTTGAGACGGGGTTTTGACATGTTGCCCAGGCTGGTCTCAAACTCCTGAGCTCAAGCGTTCTGCCTGCCTCAGCCTCCCAAAGTGCTGATAATATAGATAAGAGCCACCATGCCTGGCCAGAAAGCTGTTTTTTTACTTAAGGCTTCCTTGGGATAAGAAAGAAATTTTGCGTCTTTTAATCCATGGTGTTTTTTTGTTTTGTTTTGTTTTTCTTTTTTTGAGACGGAGTCTCACTCTGTTACCCAGGCTGGAGTGCAGTGACATGTTCTTGGCTCACTGCAACCTCTGCCTAACAGGTTCAAGTGATTGTCCTGCCTCAGCCTCCCAAGTAGCTGGAATTACAGGCATGTGCCACCATGCTTAGCTAATTTTGGTATTTTTAGTAGCGACAGGGTTTTACCATGTTGGGCAGGCTGGTCTTGAACCCCTGGCCTCAGGTGATCCACTCACCTTGGTTTCCCAAAGTCCTAGGATTACAGGCTTGAGCCACTGCACCTGGCTATGGTTTTTTACATTATTGTTTTCTGCAACTGTATCTCTAGTGGGCTTTTTAAAGGGGAAGGGGGAGGCTATGGCTTTTTGTTTTATAAGTGGGAAGAAGTGTGATTCCTATATTTAGGTAGTGAGTAGCAGCTCTTCTCTCCCTGGTATATTTATCCTTCTTCCTCCTTTTGATTATTTACATCACATAGCGTTAATTGCTGAAATGAAAGGATATGGGTCTGTGTAATTGAGACTTTTGCTTTTATTTGCAGTAATCATTTGCTACTTGTGATCCCATTTGAGATATTTAATGCTAATCTGTGCTTTGCCTTGGCTTTCTGCTTTGTGTTGTTCTGTCTTGCTTTTATGTTTTTTGTTGTCTTGCAATCCCTCATTTCTTCGTTTGTTTTGTGTTTTTTTTTCTCCCTCATGCTTGTCGTTGTCTGCACTTGGCTTTGATTGCAAAAAAAAAAAAAACCAAAAAAAACAAACAAAAAAAAAACCCAAACTGTGGGGCCCATATATCTGCATCATTGAATGTCCTTGTCGCCGTTGATGACCTGCTCTCTGCTCCCGTCCCCCTCCTTGGCCTGCTGTGATTGGTGGCTTCGTTGCTTGGCTTGGGCTGTGTTGTGTGAACGGAACAGTTCACCCCAGTATGGCCTTCTTGCCGACAGGTATCATTTCTGTGAGAAGTGTTTCAATGAGATCCAAGGGGAGAGCGTTTCTTTGGGGGATGACCCTTCCCAGCCTCAAACGTAAGTAACCATTATTTTGAAAAGTGCTAATTAGTTGTTGTCATGTGATTGTACACAGCCTTATTTCTAAATGAACTTAAGCTGTGCTGTTGAATATGGTAGCCATTAGTCATGTCTTGCTATTTAAATGCAAATTAAATACAGTTAAAAATTGTTTATCACATGGACTACTTACAGTTAAAGTGTTCAGTAGCTATCTGTGTCTGCTGGCTACCATATTGGCCAACCCAGAGAATATATCCATCATAGTAGAAAGCTCTATGAGACACTGGACTAGGGAATATGTCAGCAGTAGGCAGTCATCTTAGTTATAGTAAAAGTTACTCTGTATAGGAAGCAATCAGTTTCTCTCTGAAAAATTGAAAGTTTAGTATAAGAAAACTTCATTATTAACTTTTCTGAATTTGAGGGTAATTGAATTGATAAGCACTTTATACCCTTCTCTTGTAAGTTAACAGAAGACCCAAGTCACTATTTTAATGAATATTAGACTTTAACAACATGCAGGGGTTTAAGAGACTTGCTTGGGCTTTGCAATCTCACAAGCTCTTATCATTTGGTAAATGGCTGAGAAAAAAATTTCAAACATATAGTCTAATAGTAATAGTAGTAATCTCTTAAGATTTAGGCAGTCACTATAATTCAAACTTGGACTGTTGAAGAAGGAAAAATTGCTTAGTATAATTTTAATATTGCAGGTTCATATTTACTTCTGTTTAGGACATTGCACAAAAATATGTAATTGTTTTGTTCCTAGTAAATGGGGCTTCTGAGAAAAGCTGTGTTTAACTTTTCTAAATTGAGTTGTCAAAACAGCAGTGTCTGGGTGCCAGCTAAGAGAGTAGATACTGGGAGCCTATAATCCTTGAAACATTTTGACACTTGGTTAAGCCAGGAAGGTCAGCTCTAGGGTAAGTTTTCTTGATTCGGGAAGAGACATAATCCTTGCCATTGAACTCTGTCAAGTGGCTTACCAAATATTCTAAACCTGAAAGCAGTATATCTCTTGCTTTGAAAAGTGTAGGAACAAGACCCTTCCCAATTCTGCAGGTCTATAGTGGACACAAGTGTCTGTTTTTAACAAATTACGAGATTTCTTCTGGTGCTGCTGGTCTTCAGACTTGTAGTAGCACGACAGGCCATTCAGGAGAATGCTGTCAACAGAGACGAAAGAATCTCTAGGCCACAACTAGTATGAGAAACAGTTTTCAGTATGGATATGTCCTCATTTTTGTAAGGAAGAATCACAGTAGTCCAAGTTGGGCCCACTAATGTCGATTCTAGTTGGAGAATGGTAAGAACTGTTAGCTTTTGTATGTAGTGAGGCTATGAACAGTCTGGTATGCTAGGTTTTAGGATGGGAAACCATGTGAAATTTTGAAATGTGAAATCATGGAATTTTTGTCCTTCAGATTTACTACCCCAAAATATGTGTTTTGTTTTTGTTTTTGTTTTTTTTGAGACGGAGTTTCGCTGTTGTTACCCAGGCTGGAGTGCAATGGCATGATCTTGGCTCACCGCAACCTCCACCTTCTGGGTTCAAGCAATTCTCCTGCCTCAGCCTCCCGAGTAGCTGGGACTATAGGCACGCACCACCATGCCCAGCTAATTTTTGTATTTTTAGTAGAGATGGGGTTTCACCTCATTGACCAGGATGGTCTCGATCTCTTGACCTCGCGATCCACCCGCCTCGGCCTCCCAAAGTGCTGGGATTACAGGCATAAGCCACCGGCCCGGCCTGTATTTTTTTTTTTTTTTTTTTAGACAGGGTTTCACCATGTTGGTCAGGCTGGTCTTGAACTCCCAGCCTCAGATGATCTGCCTGCCTTAGCCTCCAAAGTGCTTGGCTTGGATTGCAGGCAGGAGCCGCCATGCCCAGCATTTTTTTTTTTTTTTTAAAGACAGAGTTTCGCTCTTATTACCCAGACTGGAGTGCAATGGCGTGATCTCGGCTCACCGCAACCTTCGCCTCCTGGGTTCAAGCAATTCTCCTACCTCAGCCTCCTCAGTAGCTGGGACTACAGGCTGCGCCACCATGCCCAGCTAAGTTTTTGTATTTTTAGTAGAGACGGGGTTTCACCGTGTTGACCAGGATGATCTCGATCTCTTGACCTAGTGATCCACCCGCTTTGGCCTCCCAAAGTGCTGGGATTACAGGCATGAGCCACTGTGCCCGGCCCCTTTTTTTTTTTTAATAAAAATGGGATTTCACCATGGTGGCCAGGCTGGTTTTGAACTCCTGACCTCCAGTGATCCACCCACCTCGGCCTCCCAAAGTGCTAGGATTACAAGTGTGAGTCACCATGCCCGGCCCACATGTATTCTTAATGTTGAAATTTTCTGTTGTAAAAAGTTGTTTGACGAGATTCTTCCTGAAAACTTTTTATTTAAATAGTGGTTTACTTCCCAGTATACATGCCATTTTTTTATAACTCAGTCTAGGAACATTAAATGAACACCTCAAGAGTAGTAATATGCAAGATTTTAAAAGGAAAAGAAGGAATAGTTTTTCTAGTTCTTCCTGGGTTCTCCATTTCTGATAAGAGGAAATGTATTTCCTCTTAAGCCCTATAGAATATTCCTTTACCGTAAACATGCATTTTGTGTGAGCCAAGAATGCATCTGTTTAAATGTGTATTCTTAAAAGACCTAAATCCATTTATAGTGTGAAGTTTGTTCCTTTTGTTAGATAAAGCAGTCTGATTGGTCATCTCTATCACTTTTTCTCATTGTGTCCCTTTTCTCTCCTTAGTACAATAAATAAAGAACAATTTTCCAAGAGAAAAAATGACACACTGGATCCTGAACTGTAAGTAAGACCCCCTTGAATAGTTAGTACGCTTTGATTTTTCCTTTTCCCTTTTATTCTCTGGGTTTGCACGATCCATCAGATGATCTTGTATTCTTGGGCTAAATCTATATAACATACATCTAATGAGTAGTAAAACCACGGAAAACATTGAAGAACTAAGAAACATTAGTTTTTAATGTTAATTTTTTTTTTTTTTTTTTTTGGCCTGTGCAGAAGATAGAAGTTTTTAATGTTAATTTTAATGTTCATAATGTTCAATGGAAAACATTAAAGATCTAAACCTCCAGTTTGCAGTGAGGCCTTTAGAGCGTGAAGGACTGAAATGTATTCTAGATGTTCTTAAAATGGATGGGATGGTATCAGATTCATTTGGAATTTTCAACACCAGTAATCTGTCTTTTAATAATTAGCTGGGCTTGGTCAGGAGCAGTGGCTCATGCCTGTGATCCCAGCACTTTGGGAGGATAAGGTGGGTAGATCACCTGAGGTCAGGAGTTGGAGACCAGCCTGGCCAACTTGTTGAAACCCAAATTAGCTGAGTATGGTGGTGCACACCTGTAATCTCAGCTACTTGGGAGGCTGAGGCAGGAGAATCACTGGAACCTGGGAGGCAGAGGTTTCAGTGAACTGACATCATGCCACTACACTCCAGCCTGGGTGACAGAGCGAGATTCCGTCTCAGAAAAATTGGCCAGGCATGATGGTATGTGCTTACGGTCCCAGCCAGGTAGCTGAGAGGCCAAGGCAGGAAAATGTCTTGAGCACAGGAGTTTAGGGTTACAGTGAGCTGTGAGCATGCCACCCACTTCAGCCTTTACAAGAGAATGAGACCCTATCTCTAAAAAAAAAAAATAGAAACTTTGTTAAAACTGTTCCCAGTTCTTTGATCGTGACCATGAGTATCTTTGTCAGAAATCATGGGAAATATTTGAAGTTTTCATTTGGTTAAGGTTTGAGGTTAATCTATCTTGGAATTGTCTCTGCTCTTCCAGGTTTGTTGAATGTACAGAGTGCGGAAGAAAGATGCATCAAATCTGTGTCCTTCACCATGAGATAATCTGGCCTGCTGGGTAAGGCTTAAGTTGCTTATTTCTCTGGAATTTCTCTTTATCATGAATATTAACGAGTTTTTTATTCTATGCATGCAATGACTATATTGTATCTTCCAAGTTACTGTCTTTAAGTTTTCTTCTTTGGGTTTGGCAACGATAATTACAGTTCACTTTTTAAAAATTAAAGATATTTAATTTTTTTAAATTTAAATACACATTCTTTTTAGCCATATATATATTTTTTTTATTCTGGATTTTTTACTAAAACTATGTTGTAGTTATTACACATTAAAAATAAATGCTTTTGGCCAAGCAAGGTGGCTCACGCCTGTAATCCCTGCACTTTGGGAGACTGGGGCTGGTGGATCACCTGAGGTCAGGAATTCCAGACCAGCCTGACCAACATGGCAAAACCCCATCTCTACTGAAAATACAAAAATTAGCCGGGCGTGGTGGCGCACACCTGTAATCCTAGCTACAGGTGAGCTGAGGCAAGAGAATCACTTGAACCTGGGAGGTGGTTGCATTGAGCTGAGATTGCACCATTGCGCTCCAAACTGGGTGACAGAGTGAGACTGTCTCAAAAAAAAAAAAAAGAGAGAAAGAAAAAAGTAAATGCTTTTAATAAGACATCTAGAAACTAGCATCATGCTGTGAATGATACCATTGGTCTGGCCCTGGTAAGGATCATCTTTTGGTTAGGGCTGGGGACAGCAAATTATAAAGCTGTAGTCATAGTATAATTGTCTAGTAAAAGGGAGAGGCCATCACTCTGTACAAGAGGAACTAATCCGAGCCATGTTCCAAAGGAAGAGGGTATGATGGGCATCAAGTGCCTCTCATTAGGATGGGATCTCCATGGATCTCGATGTCTTCTGCTCCATTCTTGGGCTGATTGTTGCTCCTGATTTGGAGGTTAGAAGAAAGGGCAGGCTGGTTTAACAAATTTCACTTTTCTTTTTTACTGTTATTTTCACATAGAAAATAACACTAAGGAAAATTAGAATAGGGGATGGTTTGGTGGCTGTTGTATTTTCAGCATGACTTGTCTTTTACGTGTGCCATTTTAATGCTTTCCTTAATCATAGACTTCTTAGAAATGATTAAGAGACTTCTTATGGTTGTTGGAATTTAGGATCAGTCGGCTGAATGACAATCCCTGTTATTACTGTGTTAAGCTTTTGCTTTTTCTTAAAATTTGAATAGTATGAGAGTTCATAAAGTAAAAAGTGATGGTCTCAGCTTCTCCTTTCCCACGCACATTCCCCGCCACAGAATTAGCATGGCCATCAGTTTGGAAAGATTCTTTCTACACCCTTTTGTACATACAATCATACTTTCTTAATTTACATGTATTTAATTTTTAATTTTTGTATCTTGTTATAGGTCATAGATTTTTTTTTTTTTTAATTGAGTCTCACTTTCATTGCCCAGGCTGGAGTACAGTGGTACAATCTTGGTTCACTGCAACCTCTGCCTCCTGGGTTCAAGCAGTTCTGCCTCAGCTTCCTGAGTAGCTGGGATTACGGGTGCATACCACCATGCCCAGCTAATTCTCTTGCATTTTTAGTAGAGATGGGGTTTCATTACATTGGCCAGTGTGGTCTTAAACTCCTGACCTCAAATGATACACCCACCTCAACCTCCCAAAGTACTGGGTTCATAGACGTTTTTTTATGTCTGCTGCATTTTTTGTTTTGTTTGTTTTGAGACAGAGTCTCACTCTGTCGCGCAGGCTGGAGTGCAGTGGTATGGTCTCAGCTCACTGCAACCTCTGCCTCCTGGGTTCAAGCCTCCCAAGTAGCTGGGACTACAGGAATGCCCAACTAATTTTTTGTATTTTTAGTAGAGACAGGGTTTCACCATGCTGGCAAGGCTGGTCTCGAACACCTGACCTCATGATCCGCCCACCTCAGGCTCCCAAAGTGCTGGGATTACAGGCATGAGCCACCTCGCCTGGCTGGCTGCTGCAGTTTTAATGGATGCATAGTATTCTTTAATATACTGTAATCCATTTATTTACTTAGTTGGTAAACAAGTTTCTGTGGAAACTCTCATTAAAGACATATCCTATACATCTTCAGTAACAATCTACTGGTTCTACTCTTAAAATGTACATTCCAACTAGTAGCGTATAGGCAGTATCACCACTTAGGATTTTTCTCCCCAATTACATTGGCAAAACTTCTATCTTGATTTGTAATCCTTGATCATCTTTCTGTGTGTAAACCAATTTATATGCTCTTCATGTTTTTTCATGTCTGTTGCCTGTTTTTCAGTTATCTCTTTTGTTCTTCGTGATTTCTAAAAGCTCTTTGTATGTTAGTTTTATTAACTCGTTAGAAATTTAGAAATGGTTCCACCAGATTGTCTTTTAAATTTTAACTTTATTTAAACAATAGATTTTGTTACATGCCTTAATCGTTTCTTTAAGATGTGTAAACGAAGTTTTTTGCATTTAGATTCGTCTGTGATGGCTGTTTAAAGAAAAGTGCACGAACTAGGAAAGAAAATAAGTTTTCTGCTAAAAGTAAGTTTTATTCTTAAAAGTAAATTTTGTCCAAACTTACCTGAAGCCTAGACAAGAAGAAACCACCCGAAGTGAATTACTTTCTTTAATCACTGTAATAATCAGAGTAAAAATAAAATGATTGGGTACTCTCCTTATAGTTGATCTGTACTTTTTGGTGTGAAATTTATTAGACCAAAGAAAAACTTCCAAGGAATGGATTTGTAGATGTACAAGATGGATGTTTTTCCTGTTCCTATGTTTTTTCTTATTTGGGGCATTTCATAAAGGAGGAATAAGATGTGGAAATAATTGGCCAGAATTGCCATCCCTCTGTCTGTTTGGAGAGTCTCACTCTGTCACCCAGGCTAGAGTGCAGTTGCAGGATCTCAGCTCACATCAACCGCCGCCTCCAGGTTCATGTGACTGGTCCTACATCAGCCTCCCAAGTAGCTGGGATTATAGGCATCTGCTACCACGCTAGGCTAATTTTTGTATTCTTAGTAGAGACAGGATTTCATCATCTTGGCCAGGGTGATCTTGAACTCCTGACCTCGTAGTCCGCTCTCCTTGACCTCCCAAAGTGCTGGAATTACAGGCATGAGCCACGGCACGCAGCCCGTTCTGTATTTTTGTAGACTCTTCCAAAATTAGTCATTTTTCAAAATGAAAAAGTTGGGGAAAATGACATTTAGAAAACATTGAGTACTGTGTCTGCTTTAACAGCACATATGTTAGAATGATACGGAGAAGATTTGCATGGTCCCTGAACCTCTAGTATAACATGCAGATCTGCAAAGTAATGACTGCTTTGCTATGATTTTTTAAATTTCACTAATTTATCCTATTTGTATTGAAAAAAGTATAAATAAGATTTGAGGTTGAACCTTAAGACTAACGGTAGTAAATTTGCACCTCAGTAACTTTTAACTTTTACATTCTAGGGTTGCCATCTACCAGACTTGGTACCTTTCTAGAGAATCGTGTGAATGACTTTCTGAGGCGACAGAATCACCCTGAGTCAGGAGAGGTCACTGTTAGAGTAGTTCATGCTTCTGACAAAACCGTGGAAGTAAAACCAGGCATGAAAGCAAGGTATCTAGTCATTTCACTTTTCTTCTCTTGTGGATCCAGAATTGCTCATACATGGTTACCACTGGTGATTCCAATCTGAATGAGTTATATTGTGGTCCCCCCCACCATCTGAATTGTATAGGTTTGTGGACAGTGGAGAGATGGCAGAATCCTTTCCATACCGAACCAAAGCCCTCTTTGCCTTTGAAGAAATTGATGGTGTTGACCTGTGCTTCTTTGGCATGCATGTTCAAGAGTATGGCTCTGACTGCCCTCCACCCAACCAGAGGTATGACTGGCTCACAGTGGCTACTTCCTGATTTGTGTGGGAGTTCCAAGTTATAATAGTAGGTGGAAAAGCATAACAGGCAAGAGTTTATTGTGCTTGGTTTAGAAATGCAAAATCTCAAGTGTCGAATGATTTTAAAGTGAAACAGATTAAAAAGCAAACCCCCAAACAAAATAACTGCTCAATACTGCTCTTCTGTGGTCATAGTAATAAAGGATATAAATAGCAACCTGAAATTGGAATTTGGAAACAAACGTGTTATACTCTTCAGAAAATGAGCTTCAATCTGGATAGTTAAGTAGCTTTGTGAAAGTATGTCTTACAAATAGGGTGGGAATTTCTTATCTCCAAAAGTAGTATAAAGGCAGTAGTAAGAATGTATAGTGATCAGCAAATACTGATTGATATGTATGTGCCAAGCACTGCTAGGTACTACAGACAGAAGGAAGCCACTGGCTCACTGAACTTCCCTGAAGGGTTCACAGTCGAGTCACCCACCTGCCTGTGATGAGCTTCACAAATAATAGTAGGCACATAAAGAACTCATTATGTAAGACTTGACTTTTTTTTTGTTCTCCCCATTTTGTATAGGAGAGTATACATATCTTACCTCGATAGTGTTCATTTCTTCCGTCCTAAATGCCTGAGGACTGCAGTCTATCATGAAATCCTAATTGGATATTTAGAATATGTCAAGAAATTAGGGTAAGCATATTTTGATAATGGATTTTTTTTTTTTTTAATTAGCATGGCCTTCTGGTAAGACATAGGTTAAATATGCAAATGTATAACTCTTTGCCCTTTTTCCCCTTATTTTAGTTCTTACATAACAATTATTCTCTCAACTTTGTCGGTGCCCCTTCGAAGTTAATGTTGTCAGTAGGAAAGAAATGGTTATGGTGGCCCTAATTCCTCCCATTCAGCATTAGTTTTATTTTGTTCAGCTAAGCCATTGGGTCCAGTTTGCTTTGAAGTTTGATTTTTGCCTCTCACTTGAGGGCAGAATTTTAACTTTTACAACCTGGGATCGAGACCAAAAACAAAACAGCTCTGGAGATACTTCTTACCTTTAGAATATGCACATCATTGGAGACATTCACTCCCTCATCTGGAAGGCTGCTTCTCTGAAGACTCTGCCTTTTTTTTTTAGCTCCCTTGTTAAACAGATCCATTTTCCTTTACAATGTAATCTTCATTTGGTATTAATATGCAGACAGAGTTTTTGGATCCAGGGCTAAGTTACCTGCTTTATGGCTGAAATTCACAACATTCTGCTGCCTCCAAAAATAAGTAGGCAATGTGTGATCCATTGTTTTTACTGTGGGTTATGCCTAGTTCTGGCTTCACAATGTTAATTAATCTCATGTTAGGTTATTGACTGTGTTATCTTGGGAGGAATCATTGATATCTGTATCAGCTCCGTCTTCTGGTTTAAACTATAGCCTTCTAGAATAGATTATCTTTTTTCCTTAATGTTCTTTTTCTATTGCTAGTTACACAACAGGGCATATTTGGGCATGTCCACCAAGTGAGGGAGATGATTATATCTTCCATTGCCATCCTCCTGACCAGAAGATACCCAAGCCCAAGCGACTGCAGGAATGGTACAAAAAAATGCTTGACAAGGCTGTATCAGAGCGTATTGTCCATGACTACAAGGTCAGTTGGGACATGGGGGCCAGGTGCTGACAGTAGATCTGGAAATTCACTAATGTTGCTGCTCTATATTCTGTCATTTAACTTAAAAAAAAAAAAAGTCTTGTTTGTCCTAACACTTGCATGTAATTCCTAAAACTGCTAATTTGATTGCTTTTATTTCGTATATTCAAAATTTTTCAATGTAAGGAAAACTTGGTCTTTGAAGAGTGGTAGATCAAGAAATCCCTGTTTTAAACATGTAACCAAAATTTTTGTCGTTGTTTTGGTAGAAATGGGGTATCGCTGTGCTGCCTAGGCTGGACTTGAACTCTTGGCCTCAGGTGATCCAAAGTGCTGGGATTACAGGCGTGAGCTACTGTGCCTGGCCTTAAAATGTATTTTTTCGTTTCGGTTTTTTGTTTGGTTTGGGTTGGTTGAGGTTTTAGGGGTGGGGGTGTTCTGTTTTGTTTTCAGACAGGGTCATACACTGTCACCCAAGCTAGGGTGCAGTGGCATTATCTCTGCTCACTGCAACCTCTGCCACCCAGGCTCTGAGCCATCTTCCCACTCAGCTTCCTGAGTTGCCGGAACTACAGGTGCACACCATGACACCTGGTTAATTATGTGTTGTTTTTTTTTTGTTTGTTTGCTGTTGTAGAGACAGGATTTCACCATGTTGCCCAAGCTGGCCTCAAACTCCTGAGCACAAGTCTCAGCCTCCCAAGTGCTGGGATTACAGGTGTGAGCCACCTCACCCAGCCAAAAATAGATAAACATTCATGAATATAGGCTGTCTCATGACACAAACTTGTCTTCCTCATTTTAGTAGTTCATCAAGTGGATGTTTTCCTGAGCACCCCAGCAAATCATTCTGCAGCAGATACAATTTCCAATATTTGTAGTTATGGTCATTTTGAACAAAGCTGTCAGTAAAAGCTGCTGAAATTCCAAGGATGGTAGCGAGGAGAGCATGCTTCACACCACATATTCTATGATAAGGAGTGGTAAGGGCCATGGCATACATGATGGTGCTGCCACCCTGACATTGATGCTGGCAGGATAATTGCCACTTGTTTGTATAAAAGCCTATAAGTTCCCTGTTTTTATAGGTAGAGGAAATAGAAAACCAGAATATTTAACTTTAGGCCAGGCCTTTTCAGTGTTTTTCTACATACCTCCCTGGGTTATGGCTTAGATATAACATGTCTGCCAACTTCCAAGACATTTTAAGCTTTTGTGTTTCTTGTTCGTTAGCTGTGATTATTCTCTATAATCAGTGCTTTAAAAGAACATAGAAATTCCTATTTTACATGCATATTTTTGCAGGATATTTTTAAACAAGCTACTGAAGATAGATTAACAAGTGCAAAGGAATTGCCTTACTTCGAGGGTGATTTCTGGCCCAATGTTCTGGAAGAAAGCATTAAGGAACTGGAGCAAGAGGAGGAAGAGAGAAAACGAGAAGAAAACACCAGCAATGAAAGCACAGATGTAAGGACACTGAGTTTCCTTTCAAATCTATACCTTGATTCTAATATTTAACCCAGAAGTGCACTTAAACTTTCAGTTGGGTTTTAAAGCTCTCAGGTGTGAAAGAGCTCTTTAAAATTGGGCAAGAAATGTTGGCTTAGAAAGGTTACTAGGGTTCTGTTTCAGTGGCATTAAACCTTTAAAGCCTCAGACCCAGACCCCCTTTTAAAATGGTATCTCAGACTGAGTAATGTGAAATGATAAAAGAAACTGAAGGATTACTTATCTGAAAGACTAAGTTATGAATATTATAGGCCTGTGGGCCACATATAATCTCTAGCGTATTTTCTCTCTCTTAAAAAAAAATCTTTTGAAATTTAAAAACCATTCTTAGCGATATAAAACAGGCCTGAGGCAGAATTTGCCTGTTAAATAACTTAAGTCTGGCTTAATAACCTCACCAGTTATTTCCCCATAGCATATCTAGAATTACCTCCATTGAATTTAACTTACAGAGGCACCCTTTAATACTCTGTTAACGAAGTCTTACAGCCTTGTCATTTAGTATTTGTGGGCTCATACCATTTTAGAATATGGGTGGAAGGAGATAAAACCAAGGTCTTCTGGCTCCCCACTTTCATGCACTCTTCACTACCCCAAAGTGCCATCCATTCCTTGTTCCCTCGCCCCAATCTGGTATACATTCAGTCTGCATGGTCTGCATACTCTGTGGCCTCTTCTAGGCAAAAAGCTAAAGAGCCACCATTGCCTTAAGGATCACTGGTAAAAAAATTAGGTCAAAATAAGGTCTTTCTAAAGGAAAAAGAATAAATAAAAAGAAAACAACTAGTAAAATAAGATACAGGCATAAGATTATGATGTCTGGTTTCAAATAAGGGCGATATTCAGTGTTAGTCCCACATCACTTTTTTTTGGGGAGACAGAGTCTCGCTCTGTCACCAGGCACCAGGCTGGAGTGCACTGGCGCAATCTCGGCTCACTGCAACCTCCGCTTCCGGGTTCAAGCAATTATCCTGCCTCTCGAGTAGCTGGAACCACAGGCATGTGCCACCACATCCAGCTAATTTTTGTATTTTTTAGTAGAGATGGGATTTCACCATGGTCTCGATCTCTTGACCTCGTGATCCACCTGCCTCGGCCTGCTAAAGTGCTGGGTTTAACAGGCATGAGCCACCGGCGCCCAGCCCCACATCACTTAACAAAAACTTATTTTCTTGTCTCCTTTGTGCTATTCTGCAGGTGACCAAGGGAGACAGCAAAAATGCTAAAAAGAAGAATAATAAGAAAACCAGCAAAAATAAGAGCAGCCTGAGTAGGGGCAACAAGAAGAAACCTGGGATGCCCAATGTATCTAACGACCTCTCACAGAAACTGTATGCCACCATGGAGAAGCATAAAGAGGTAAGATGCAGCCACGGGAAGATTTCTGGCTGGGTGCAGTGGATCACCTAAAATGAAGAGTTTGAGACCAGCCTGACCAACATTGAAACCCTGTCTCTACTAAAAGTAGAAAAATTAGCCAGGCATGGTGTTGTGGGCCTGTGGTCTCAGCTACTCAGGAGGCAGAGATGGGACAATTGCTTGAGCCCAAGAGGCAAAGGCTGTAGTGAGTCATGGTCACGCCACTCCACTCCAGCCTGGGTGACAAAGTGAGACCCTGTCTCAAAAAAAGAGATTTGTCTGTTTTGCAGGTCTTCTTTGTGATCCGCCTCATTGCTGGCCCTGCTGCCAACTCCCTGCCTCCCATTGTTGACCCTGACCCTCTCATCCCCTGCGATCTGATGGATGGTCGGGATGCGTTTCTCACGCTGGCAAGGGACAAGCACCTGGAGTTCTCTTCACTCCGAAGAGCCCAGTGGTCCACCATGTGCATGCTGGTGGAGCTGCACACACAGAGCCAGGACCGCTTTGTCTACACCTGTAATGAATGCAAGCACCATGTGGAGACACGCTGGCACTGCACTGTCTGTGAGGTAGGCACCTGGTTGTGGAAGGGAGGAGATGAGCTCTGCAGGGTTTTTCACTGTTACGAGGGGCCGTGCAGTTATATAGGCCTGTGGGGTGCTGGGGCTTGGCCTCATGTTTGAGTGGCAGAGCTGAAGAGGCTAGTTTTTGTTCTACAAAATGGGCTTTTCTGGCCCAAACAGAATGTCTAAAATACTTTTGAGTAACTTAAATCTTGGAGAATTTACCTGGACCTCCTGTTTTTTCCCCAGGATTATGACTTGTGTATCACTTGCTATAACACTAAAAACCATGACCACAAAATGGAGAAACTAGGTTTGGGCTTAGATGATGAGAGCAACAACCAGCAGGCTGCAGCCACCCAGAGCCCAGGCGATTCCCGCCGCCTGAGTATCCAGCGCTGCATCCAGTCTCTGGTCCATGCTTGCCAGTGTCGGAATGCCAATTGCTCCCTGCCCTCCTGCCAGAAGATGAAGCGGGTTGTACAGCATACTAAGGGTTGCAAACGGAAAACCAATGGTGGGTGCCCCATCTGCAAGCAGCTCATTGCCCTCTGCTGCTACCATGCCAAGCACTGCCAGGAGAACAAATGCCCGGTGCCGTTCTGCCTAAATATCAAACAGAAGCTCCGGCAACAGCAGCTCCAGCACCGACTACAGCAGGCCCAAATGCTTCGCAGGCGGATGGCCAGCATGCAGCGGACTGGTGTGGTCGGGCAACAACAGGGCCTGCCTTCTCCCACTCCTGCCACTCCAACAACACCAACTGGCCAACAGCCAACCACCCCACAGACACCCCAGCCCACCTCTCAGCCTCAGCCTACCCCTCCCAGTAGCATGCCACCCTACTTGCCCAGGACTCAAGCTGCTGGCCCTGTGTCCCAGGGTAAGGCAGCAGGCCAGGTGACCCCTCCAACCCCCCCTCAGACTGCTCAGCCACCCCTTCCAGGGCCCCCACCTGCAGCAGTGGAAATGGCAATGCAGATTCAGAGAGCAGCAGAGACACAGCGCCAGATGGCCCATGTGCAAATTTTTCAAAGGCCAATCCAACACCAAATGCCTCCAATGGCTCCCATGGCCCCCATGGGTATGAATCCACCTCCAATGACCAGAGGTCCCAGTGGGCATTTGGAGCCAGGGATGGGACCAACAGGGATGCAGCAACAGCCACCCTGGGCCCAAGGAGGATTGCCTCAGCCCCAGCAACTACAGTCTGGGATGCCAAGGCCAGCCATGATGTCAGTGGCCCAGCATGGTCAACCCTTGAACATGGCTCCACAACCAGGATTGGGCCAGGTAGGTGTGAGCCCACTCAAACCAGGCACTGTGTCTCAGCAAGCCTTACAAAACCTTCTGCGGACTCTCAGGTCTCCCAGCTCTCCTTTACAGCAGCAACAGGTGCTTAGTATCCTTCATGCCAACCCCCAACTGTTGGCTGCATTCATCAAGCAGCGGGCTGCCAAGTATGCCAACTCTAATCCGCAATCCCTCCCTGGGCAGCCTGGCATGCCCCAGGGGCAGCCAGGGCTACAGCCACCTACCATGCCAGGGCAGCAGGCGGTCCACTCCAATCCAGCCATGCAGAACATGAATCCAATGCAGGCAGGCGTCCAGAGGGCTGGCCTGCCACAGCAGCAACCACAGCAGCAACTCCAGCCACCCATGGGAGGGATGAGCCCCCAGGCTCAGCAGATGAACATGAACCACAACGCCATGCCTTCACAGTTCCGAGACATCTTGAGACGACAGCAGATGATGCAGCAACAGCAGCAGCAGGGAGCAGGGCCAGGAATAGGCCCTGGAATGGCCAACCATAATCAGTTTCAGCAACCCCAAGGCGTTGGCTACCCACCCCAGCAGCAGCAGCAACAGCAGCGGATGCAGCATCACATGCAACAGATGCAACAAGGAAATATAGGACAGATGGGCCAGCTCCCCCAGGCCTTGGGAGCAGAGGCAGGTGCCAGTCTACAGGCCTATCAGCAGCGACTCCTTCAGCAACAGATGGGGTCCCCTGCTCAGCCCAACCCCATGAGCCCCCAGCAGCATATGCTCCCAAATCAGGCCCAGTCCCCACACCTACAAGGCCAGCAGATCCCTAATTCTCTCTCCAATCAAGTGCGTTCTCCCCAGCCTGTCCCCTCTCCACGGCCACAGTCCCAGCCCCCCCACTCCAGCCCTTCCCCAAGGATGCAGCCTCAGCCTTCTCCACACCACGTTTCCCCACAGACAAGTTCCCCACATCCTGGACTGGTAGCTGCCCAGGCCAACCCTATGGAACAAGGGCATTTTGCCAGCCCGGAGCAGAATTCAATGCTTTCTCAGCTCACTAGCAATCCAGGCATGGCAAACCTCCATGGTGCAAGCGCCACGGACCTGGGACTCAGCACCGATAACTCAGACTTGAATTCAAACCTCTCACAGAGTACACTAGACATACACTAGAGACACCTTGTAATATTTTGGGAGCAAAAAAATTATTTTCTCTTAACAAGACTTTTTGTACTGAAAACAATTTTTTTGAATCTTTCGTAGCCTAAAAGACAATTTTCCTTGGAACACATAAGAACTGTGCAGTAGCCGTTTGTGGTTTAAAGCAAACATGCAAGATGAACCTGAGGGATGATAGAATACAAAGAATATATTTTTGTTATGGCTGGTTACCACCAGCTTTTTTCCCCCTTGTGTGTGTGGTTCAAGTGTGCACTGGGAGGAGGCTGAGGCCTGTGAAGCCAAACAATATGCTCCTGCCTTGCACCTCCAATAGGTTTTATTATTTTTTTTAAATTAATGAAAGTATGTAATATTAATAGTTATTATTTACTGGTGCAGATGGTTGACATTTTTCCCTGTTTTCCTCACTTTATGGAAGAGTTAAAACATTTCTAAAACCAGAGGACAAAAGGGGTTAATGTTACTTTAAAATTACATTCTATATATATATATAAATATATATAAATATATATTAAAATACCAATTTTTTTTTTCTCCGGGTGCAAAGATGTTCATTCTTTTAAAAATGCTTAAAAAAAAATCTCCCTTTCTTCCCCTCATGTCAACTTTTGTGCTCCAGAAAATTTTCTATTCTGTAATAAGTCTGAGCGTAAAACTTCAAGTATTAAAATAATTTGTACATGTAGAGAGAAAAATGACTTTTTCAAAAATATACAGGGGCAGCTGCCAAATTGATGTATTATATATTGTGGTTTCTGTTTCTTGAAAGAATTTTTTTCGTTATTTTTACATCTAACAAAGGAAAAAAAAAGAGGGTAAGAAACGATTCCGGTGGGATGATTTTAACATGCAAAATGTCCCTGGGGGTTTCTTCTTTGCTTGCTTTCTTCCTCCTTACCCTACCCCCAACTCCCCCTCTCTCTCTCTCTCTCTCTCTCTCTCTCTCTCTCTCTCTCTCTCTCTCTCACACACACACACACACACACACACACACTTTCTATAAAACTTGAAAATAGCAAAAACCCTCAACCGTTGTAAATCATGCAATTAAAGTTGATTACTTATAAATATGAACTTTGGATCACTGTATAGACTGTTAAATTTGATTTCTTATTACCTATTGTTAAATAAACTGTGTGAGACAGACACCCTGACTTTGTTTCAATTCTTGATATCCTATCTGTGTTTTGGAGTACACCAGTTTAAGTGCCTGATGCTTAGGATTCAGAGAAAAAAGTGAAAGCATTAGCTTATAGCCTCATTAACATACTGTGTATGTATTCACAAGTAGATCTGGGTGAATTTGTCTAAAGGTCTGGGAAAAAATATAAGTACCAGCTAGTAGTCAAGGTTGAAATGATACCTATTTACATCTTGATTCAGGACCCCTTACGAATGACCTCATGGTCTTCTAATCACCTTTGTCTTACATGGGATGAGGAGGACCCAAGACTGTTTATGCCTAAGTCCCAGGTAACTTCTTGGAAAAAAAAACAAGACTTGCCAGGCACAGTGGCTCGCGCCTGTAATCCCAGCACTTTGGGAAGCCAAGGCAGGCAGATCACGAGGTCTGGAGTTCGAGACCAGCCTGGCCAATAAGGTGAAACCCTGTCTCTCTTAAAAATGTAAAAATTAGCCAGGTGTGGTGGCAGGCGCCTATAGTCCCAGCTACTCGGGAGGCTGAGGCAGGAGAATCGCTTGAACTCAGGAGGTAGAGATTGCAGTGAGCCAAGATTGCACCACTGCACTCCAGCCTGGGTGACAGAGCCAGACTTTGTCTCAAAAAAGAAACGACATGAAGCTAGGGAGCTCATTACTTCTGTTTGCTAAACTGCTCATCAAAAAGTCAGTTGGAATCAGGTTGAAAGGAAGGAAAATGTGTGGAAATAAAACCTAGAAGGCTGAGAGAGATTACAATCCGGTAATATGCTAGATACTGAAAGAATAGAGAGGTTATTTATCCTCCAACTGAACATTACACTGGCTGTGAACAAACTTAAATGTTAGAATTCCAGATCGTATTTTTATCACAGATGAACACTAACCATATGTGACTGCTAGAGACATGATTGTCAGATATCTTGAACTGTTACTACTATTTTACAGTCTGAAAACAACCAGCATCTTTTTTTTTTTTTTTTTAAGACAAGTCTGGTCACCCAGGCCAGAATGCAATGGCATAATTGTTGACTGTAGCCTCAAACTCATGGGCTGAAGCAATCCTCTCAATTCAGCCTCCCTAGTAGCTGGGACTTACAGATGTGTACCATTATGCCTGGCTGACTTCTTAAAATTTTTATAGAGGTCACGTCTAAAACACCTGGGCTCAAGTGATCCTCCCACCTTGGCCTCCCAAAATGCTGGGATTAGAGGCATGAGCCACCTTGCCCAGCCCCTAAACCAGCATCTTAATGTGAGATGAACTCACTCAGCAATAATCAGAGCCAGCCCAGAAAAATGTATCAAGCAACCACCTGCTTCAGCTCAGTGACCCAGCAGATATCCATGGAGCAGCTATATATGCGCCAGCTGGGCAGAGCACACATGAACGGTGTGCAGCCCTGCCCTGAAGCTAACCAGCTTAAGGTCTATAAAAGAAGATGGCATGACAAAGTACAGAGTACCAAGTGATGTGATGTATGCAAGGAATGCAAGAAGGAATTCATTAAAGAAAACCTAGCTGACGGGAATTGGAGATGTTTCTGGAAAGGACAGCATGGAAGCTGGACGGTGGAGGGGAGACGAATGGGAAAAGGAGAGGCGGAGGTGCCCAGAAGAGTGCACCAGATCCTGCTAGGGAGCAGCTCCAGGTCTACTTGGCTGAGACCTGATAACAGAAAGTAGTGAACTCTGTTCCAGAAAGACTGCCTCCTGCTCCTTAAGACTAGGAGCCCAGGATTCATCTAAATAAACCCTCAAGAGGGAAATGTTTAGAATACAGTAAATTCCCAGTTTTGAAAGCTCTGCCTCTGGCTAAAGATAGCTGGGTTGAAATGTTACACCAGCACATTGTCACTGCAATGTTGAAAAAAGGAAGTAGGGACAGAAGTCGATTAAATAGAAAGAAAGCTGGACGCAGTGGCTCACACCTATAATCTCAGCACTTTGAGAAGCCGAGGTGGGTGGATTACCTGAAGTCAGGAGTTCGAGACCAGCCTGGAAAACGTGAAACCCCATCGCCACTAAAAATACAAAATTAGGCGGGGTGCGGTGGCTCATGTCTTTAATCCCAGCACTTTGGGAGGCCCAGGCAGGCAGATTACCTGAGGTCAGGAGTTCAAGACAAGCCTGGCTAACATGGTGAAACCCTGTCTCTACTAAAAATACAAAACTTAGCCAGGTGGTGTGGTGGACGTCTGTAATCCCAGCTACTCAAAAGGCTGAGGCAGGAGAATCACTTGAACCCAGGAGGCGGAGGTTGCAATAAGTCCAGATTGTGCCATTGCACTCCAGCCTGGCCTCCATTCAAAAAAAGAGCCGGGTGCAGTGGTTCTCACCTGTAATCCCAGCACTTTGGGAGGCCGAGGTGGGTGGATCACCTGACATTGGGAGTTCAAGACCAGCCAACCAACATGGTGAAACCCTGTCTCTACTAAAAATGCAAAAAAGCCAGGCACTGTAATCCCAGCTACTCGGAAGGCTGAGGCAGGAGAATTGCTTGAATCCAGGAGGTGGTGGAAGTTGCAGTGAGCTGAGATCAGACCATTGCACTCTAGCCTGGGTGACGAGAAAAACTGCCTCTCAAAAAAAAGGGAAGGGCAGAGGGGAAAGCTGCCCTTGCCCAGATGAGCCATAGTGCAAAGGTAGAAAATAAGGATTAATCCAGAATCAGCAATACAAGAAGATAATTTCAATGTTGGTGCAAGTTTCCACCTGTAATCCCAGCATTGTGGGAGGCTGAGGGAGGAAAGATTGCTTGAGGCCAGGAGTCAGGAGACCAGCCTGGGTAAGAGTGAGACCCCCATCTCTACCAAAAATAATAAAAAGCAGGCATAGCAGCACCCCAGGTACTTGGGAGGCTGAGGCAGGAGGACTGCTTGAGCCCAGGAGGTTTAGGCTGCAGTGAGCCATGATTGTGGCACTGCACCTCTGCTTGGGTGGCTGAGTGAGACCCTCCTGGGCTATTACTGCTCATCAATCTAGGAAATGGGCCCAGTGGGCTAGCAGTGCTCCAGTTGCCCTCATTCACTGCACTTACTGAATCCTCAATAACAGCCCCACTCGACAAATGGTAAAACAAGCTCAGGTGAAATAATGTGCTCAAGACCACACAGCCAGTAAAAGGCTTACCAGAACAATAGCCTGTTGGACTCCAAAGCCATTCCTCTCCATGTCCTTTTATCTCCCTTATGGCAGAGAAGCCCCAGTGATGGCTGCAAATTAACCAGCAGATATGTCATGGGGACCCTGTTTCAAGCAAATTCAAAATACAGACTAAAAACTGAAAAGTGGAAGGGAGGGGGCAAGTAAGGAATGATAAAAAAATCTCCCTGAGGTTCTCATTTTACAACCAAGGAAACATCTCTAGACAGTATTATGTTCATGATGAGGTCATCCTACTTAGAGAGGACAAAGGCCATCATCAAAAAGAATAAAATTGGCCAGGCACAGTGGCTCACACCTGTAATCCCAGCATTTTGGGAGGCTGAGGCAGGCGGATCATGAGGTCAAGAGATTGAGACCATCCTGGTCAACATGGTGAAACCCATCACTACTAAAAATACAAACAATAGTGGGGCATAGTGGCATGTGCCTGTAATCCCAGCTACTCGGGAGGGTGAGGAAGGAGAATCTCTTGAACCTGGGAGGCGGAGGTTGCAGTGAGCCAAGATTGTGCGATTGCACTCCAGCCTGGGTGACAAGAATGAAACTCCATCTAAGAAAAAAAAAGAAAGAAGATGTAGGCATAAATTTTCATGACCTTGGAATAGGCAATAGCTTCTTAAATATAACACCAAAAACATACAAGAAACCAAAGCAAAAATAAATTAGACCTCAAAACTTTTGTGCATCAGAGGACATGACCAAGAAAGTAAAAAGACATACAGAATGGCAGAATATATTTGCAGATCACATATTTCTGTATTTAGATTATATTTAAAAATCTGGCCGGGCGCAGTGGCTCAAGCCTGTAATCCCAGCACTTTGGGAGGCGGAGGCAGGTGGATCACGAGGTCAAGAGATCGAGACCATCTGGTCAACATGGTGAAACCCCGTCTCTACTAAAAATACAAAAAATTAGCTGGGCACGGTGGTGTGTGCCTGTAATCCCAGCTACTGAGGAGGCTGAGGCAGGAGAATTGCCTGAACCCAGGAAGTGGAGGTTGCGGTGATCCGAGATCGCACCATTGCACTCCAGCCTGGGTAACAAGAGCGAAACTCCATCTCAAAAAAAAAAATATATATATATATATATATTTATATATATATATATATATATATATATATATTGGCCAGGTGCAGTGGTTCATGTCTGTAATCCCAGCACTTTGGGAGGCCAACGTAGGCTGAAGGCAAGAGATAGAGACCATCCTGGTCAACATGGTGAAGACCCATCTCTACTAAAAATACAAAACTTAGCTGGGCGTCAGCTGGGTGCAGTGGCTCATGCCTGTAATCCCAGCACTTTGGGAGGCCAAGGCAGGTGGATCACGAGGTCAGGAGATTGAGACCATCCTGGCCAACATGGTGAAATCCTGTCTCTACTAACAATACAAAAAAATTAGCTGGGGGCCGGGCACGGTGGCTCACACCTATAATCCCAGCACTTTGGGAGGCCGAGGCGGGTGGATCACGAGGTCAAGAGATCGAGACCATCCTGATCATCATGGTGAAACCCCGTCTCTACTAAAAATACAAAAAATTAGCTGGGCATGGTAGCGCGTGCCTGTAATCCCAGCTACTCAGGAGGCTGAGGCAGGAGAATTGCCTGAACCCAGGAGGTGGAGGTTGCGGTGAGCCGAGATCACGCCATTGCACTCCAGCCTGGGTAACGAGTGAAACTCCGTCTCAAAAACAAAAACAAAAACAAAACGAAAGAAAAAAAACAATCAAAAAAGGAGTAAGACAATTTTTTCAATGGGCAAAGGATTTTCATAGATATTTCTCCAAAGATAATATGCAAATGGCCAAAAAGCATAAAAAAGACACTCAAAACCATTAGTCATCAGGGAAATGCAAGTCAAAACCACAATGAGATACTGCTTCCAACCCACTCGCATGGCAGTAGTCCAAAGGACAATAACAAGTGTTGGCTAGAATGGGGAAAAGCTGGAACCCTCATACACTGCTAGTGATTATGGAAAATGGAAGTCTAGCAGTTCCTCTAAAAAGTTAAACAGTTACCATAGGACCTAGCAATTCTACTCCTGAGTATACACCTAAGAGAACTGAAAACATATGTTCACACAAAGACACATACACAAACATTCACAGCATTTGTGTGCAAAGGAAATGTCCATCAAAAGTATAAGCAAGGCCAGGTGCGGCGGCTCACGCCTATAATCCCAACACTTTGGAAGGCCGAGGCGGGTGGATCACAAGGTCAAGAGATCGAGACCATCCTGGTCAACAAGGTGAAACCCCGTCTCTACTAAAAATACAAAAATTAGCTGGGCAGGGTGGCGCATGCCTGTAATCCCAGCCACTTGGGAGGGTGAGGCAGGAGAATTCCTTGAACCCAGAAGGCAGAGGTTGCGGTAAGACGAGATTGTGCCATTGCACTCCAGTCTGGGTAACAAGAGCGAAACTCCGTCTCAGAAACAAAAAAAAGCATAAGCAACGCGAATGCCCATCAACTGATTAATGAATATCCATACAACGGAGTGTTATTCAGCCACTGAAGTAAGTACTGATGTGTCTATGACATGGATGAACCTTACGAAAACCAGACATAGAAGAAAGACCACATATTGTATGATTTAATTTACATGAAGTGTCCAAAATCAGCAAATCCACAGAGATTTGCAAGTAGCTTAGTGGTTGCCAGGGGCTGCATAAAGGGAGAATAAAGATTCACTGCGATTGGGTAGGGATTTGGGTGGGCGGTGATGAAGACACTGTGGTATTAGGTAATGTGATGGTTGCACAACTGTGAATATACTAAAAACCACTGAATTGTACACTTTGAAAGGGGGAATTTTGTGATATGTGAATTATATCTCAGTGAAAAAACAGGAGGACACAGAGCAGCAGGCTGGCCAGCCAGGAGAGTGCTGGATCTGCATTTCATCTCACAAGAGCCCACCTGAAGGGATCAGGATGTGCAGTAGGCAGATGGGAAGACTGGAAATGGGTCTGAAGGACCATTAAGAAGAAGAAGGAGGCTTGCTCTTAGTTGTAGGATTGAGCAAAACTTGTCCCAGAATAAGTTGCCTTGTGAGTTTCTGCTTAGAGTGGAAGAAAACGAGACCTCTAAGAGAACTCTTATAACTGTAAAGGACCTTCAATCTTTTGATAGAAAGATACAAACAGCTGGGTGTGGTGGTGTTCACCTGTAGTCCCAGCTACTCTGGAAGCTGAGACAGGAGCGCTGTTTGAGTCCAGGAGTTTGAGTTCATCCTGAGCAACAGAGTGAGATTCTGTCTCTAAAAACAAAGGCCAGGCGTGGTGATTCACGCCTGTAATCCAAGCAGTTTGGGAAGCTGAGGCAGGCAGATCACTTGAGGTCATGAGTTCGAGACCAGCCTGGCCAATATGATGAAATCCTGTCTCTACTAAAAATATAAAAATCAGGCCAGGCATGGTGGCTCATGCCTGTAATCCCAGCACCTTGGGAGGCCGAGGTGGGTGAATCAAGAGATCAGGAGTTCGAGACCAGCCAGACCAACATGGTGAAACCTCATCTCTACTAAAAATACAAAAAAAAAAAATAGCCAGTGGTGCACACCTGTAATCCCAGTTACTCAGGAGGCTGAGGCAGGACAATCACCTGAACCCAGGAGGCAGAGGCTGCAGTGAGCAGAGATTGCGTCACTGCCTTCCATCCTGGGTGACAGAGGGAGATTCTGTCTCAAAAAAAAAAATTAGCTGGGCATGGTGGCTCACACCCATAGTCCTAGCTACTTGGGAGGCTGAAGCAGAAGAATCACTTGAACCCTGGAGGCAGAGGTTTGCAGTGAGCCGAAATCGTACCACTGCACCGCAGCCTGGGTGACAGAGCCAGACTCCATCTCAAAAACAAAAAAATTTAATTAAAAAAAAAAAAAAAACAGAAAAATTAGCTGGGCATGGTGGCGCACACCTATAATCCCAGCTACTCAGGAGGCTGAGGCAGGAGAATCGCTTGAACCCTGGTGGCAGAGGCTGCAGTGAGCCAAGACTGAGCCACTGCACTCCAGCCTGGGAACAGAGCGAGACTCCATCTGAGGGGCGGCAGGGAGTCGGGGGCGGGGGGAGGATATAAACAGAAAAAAAAAATGAACTGGATAATTCATTTTACAAATGAATGCTCAGGCCGGGTGTGGTGGCTCATGACTGTAATCCCAGCACTTTGGGAGGTCAAGACAGGCAGATCACCTGAGGACAAGAGTTCGAGACCATCCTGGCCAACATGGTGAAATCCTGTCTCTACTAAAAAATACAAAAATTACAGGATGGTGGCCATGGAAGTCGGAATCCGCTAAGGAGTGTGTAACAACTCACCTGCCAAATCAACTAGCCCTGTATTTAAAAATATTTTTAAAAATACAAAAATTAGCTGGGCATTGTGGCAGGCACTTGTAATCCCAGCTACTGGGGAGGCTGAGGCAGGAGAATCTCTTAAACCCGGGAAAAAAAGGTTGCAGTGAGCCGAGATTACACCACTGCACTCCAGCCTGGGAGACAGAGCAAGACTCTGTCTCAAAAAAAAAAAAAAAAAATGCTCAATAGTGATACAATGATGTCACCTAATAGGCCTGACATTTTTTTGTTTGACTAATGTGTACGAAGAGAACTCAACAGTTCTATGACCTTTCACAAGGAACTGACTTCAGTTGAGTCATCTGGGAAATGAAGATAACACTGTGTCTTACTACCTCATTGGCTGGTTTTAAAGATAAATAAACGTTGGCAAAGATGTAGAGAAATGAGAACTATTGAATGAATATTCCTGGTAGCAAAATGGTTCAGAACTGTGGAAAACAGTATGGTGGTTCCTCAACAAATGGAATGACCATATGATCCAGAATTCCACTTCCGGGTATGTACACAAAGAATCAAAAGCACAGATTTGAACATATTTGTACATCCGTGTTCATAGCCGCGTTAGTCACAATAGCCAAAAAGTGCCAAAAGGTGTGGCAAAGTGGCTCATGCCTGTAATCCCAACACTTTTTTCTTTTTTTCAGGGTGGGGGTGGAGGGACAGAGTTTCACTCTTGTTGCCCAGGCTGGAGTGCAGTGGTGCAATCTCAGCTCACTGCAACCTCCATCTCCAGGGTTCAAGAGATTCTCCTGCCTCAGCCTCTGGAGGAGCTGGAATTACAGGCACCCATCACCACATCCGGCCAATTTTTGTATTTTTAGTAGAGACAGGGTTTCACCATGTTATCCAGGCTGGCTTCAAAACGCCCAGCCCAAAACGTTATTAAAAGCAAAGAAAGGGCCAGGCATGGTGACTCATACCTGTAATCCCAGCACTTTTGGAGGCCGAGGTGGGCAGATCACCTGAGGCCAGGAATTCAAGATGGCCAACATATGAAACCCCATCTCAAAAATAATAACAATAAAATAAAAAAGAAATGACTGGCTCATGCCTGTAATCCCAGCACATTGATAGGCTGAGGCAGGCGGATTACAAGATCAGGAGATCAAAACCATCCTGACCAACATGGTGAAACTGGTCTCCACTAAAATATAAAAAATTAGCCGGGCATGGTGGCACACACTTTTAGTC